CTGCTGCCATATAAGAGGTGCCTTGCTTCCCCTTTGCCTTCCACCATGATTGTAAGCTTATAATCATTAGGCCTCCTGGGGCCTCCCCGGCCATCTGGAACTGTGAGTCAATTAAGCCTCTTTCCTTTATAAATTACCCAGTCTCAGGTAGTATCTCTACAGCAGTGTGAAAATAGATTAATACTACACCTATTGTGTTGTAGCTACATAGTGTATTATTAGACAAACCACAAATATTGTATCTGGCTTGTTTGATGTCCATAATAGTGTATCAGTCAGCTGTTGCTGCATAACAAATAACCACAAAATTCTCAAGTTGCATATTTCTTGTTCATGCATCTGTTGTTTGACTGAACTTTTGCTGGCACTCAGCTGGACTTGACACCAAGTTGTGGTCTGGGTTCAGATCTGTTCAACATGTCTGTCATCCTTCTTGGGCCAGCAAGCTACCTGGGCCATATGCTTCTTGTGCACATAAGCACAAGAGGGCAACCCCAACCATGCAAAGACATTCTAAGCCTCTACTTTTGTCATGCCTGCTTACATTCCATTTTCCAAAGTAGGTTATGTGGCCAAATCCAAATTCCCAGGCCAGGGAAGTACTGTTTTCCCAGCTCTTGTTCACTCTGCTTTATCTACATTGGATTTCTTGCTGTACTTGAGCAAGTCAGTCACACTCCCCTCTCAGAGTCTTTACATTTGCCAGTCCTTCCGTGTGGAGCACTTTTCCCTCAAATACTTGTGCAACTCATACCCTCCAGTTCTTAAAGCTTTTGCTCAACTGCATCTCATCAATGAGGACTTCCAAGACTCCACTTTCTGATGACTCTCATTGTCCCTTGCTAGCCCTCTCCTCAGAGTGTTCATCACCATTCAACATACCTATATAGTTTACTTATTTACTTGTTAAGCCTGTGTGCCTCTGTAAGAATGCGAGTTTCACAGAGAGAGTGTGTGGGTGCGGTTTGCCTATTGATATATCTTCAGTGAACAGTAGTTGGATTGTAATAAATATTTGAATAAATAAATTAATCCTACTGTTTTTAAACTTCTGTGGTTTTTAAAAGGCATTTTAAAAATCTGGGTTAGTATCAAATATTACAGTGGTATTACTTTAACTTCAGGTTTCATTTAGCTGTTTTAACTTTTACAATATATTCTGACACAGAAAATATTAGGCATTAAGCATTTTTTTTTTGACAGATAGTTTCTTTATTCATCATCCTCCTCCTTCTCCTTCTTCTCTTCTCTTCTTCCTCCTCCTCTTCTTCATCTTCCTCTTCAACCTTTTTCCAGGCAACTTTAGCAGGACCCTTTGCACCATCAAACTTTCCTTTCGACTTATAGTCAGCAGCATCCTTCTCATACTTCTCCTTCAGCTTTGCTGCCTTAGTGATGTAAGGCTGCTTTTCACTGTCATTTAAATTATTCCACATCTCACCCAGCTTTTTTGCCACATCTCCAATAGAGATGTCGGGGTTTGTGGATTTGATCTTGGGGTGGAATTCTGAACAGAACAGGAAGAATCCAGACGGTGGCCTTTTGGGAGCATTAGGATCCTCCTCCTTCTTGCCTCCCTTAGCTGGTCCATAATCCTTCATTTCCCGATCATAGAGCACTTTATCTGCCTTTGCCATTTCATCAAATTTAGATTTCTCTTTCCCGGACATTGTCTTCCACCTCTCACAGCACTTCTTGGAAAATTCTGCAAAATTGACAGGGACCTCTGGGTTTTTCTTATGTTCTTCTCTGCACGTCTGCACAAAGAAGGCATAAGCAGACATCTTGCCCTTTGGTTTCTTGGGGTCACCTTTAGCCATCCTGACTGTATTGTTCACTAGTCTCGCATTAAGCATTTTTCAATGAGTTGATTCACTTCTACTCATGCACATATGTGATGTCTGATTTCGATTCTTAAAAAGAGATGAGCCTGGGCGTGGTGGCTCATGCCTGTAATCCCAGCACTTTGGGAGGCCGAGGCCGGCAGATCACGAGGTCAGAAAATTGAGACTATCCTGGCTGACACGGTGAAACCCCATCTCTACTAAAATATACAAAAAATTAGCCAGGCATGGTGGCACGTGCCTGTAGTCCCAGCTACTCAGGAGGCTGAGGCAAGAGAATCGCTTGAACCCGGGAGGCAGAGGTTGCAGCTAGCTGAGATTCCACCACTGCACTCCAGCCTGGACGACAGAGCACGACTCTATCTCAAAAACAAAAACAAAAACAAACAAAACAAACAATGAGTTAAAACCATCCTGAGAAATCGTGAAAATATTGAGAAAAGAAGAAAACAAGATTATATTCTACTTGTTTTTATACTACCTAGAATGTAATAGGCACTCAAAAAATATCTGAATGGATGCAATTATCACTGCTATAAAAGTTTTCCATTAAAGCAAATAAGCCAATTTTACATTTGCATTATACTTGGACACTCATATTAAAGACTCACAGAGAGTTTATCTGGAAAGATAAACTTGGCTGACATCATTAGGTTTATACTTTATAATTTGATCTTTGAAATAATTCAGGAACAGGAATGCCAGTCACTTCATTGAACTGTGCCTGAATTTTAACACAGTACAACTGAGTTCCTAGAGCTCCAATATGATGTAATTAAACTGTCAGAAATATTAACATCGATGCTCATGAGCGTCGTTCATGATGTTCTCTTGGTTCTGATTTATTCGGTAAGGCATACTTTCACTAAAGTGGACTTACTGTCATTAAAAATGCCTCATGTTTCCCAATTCAGCAAAAATTTGCATCAGTAATGGAACAGAGAGATGTAATCAGCCCTTCAGTTGTCAGGATCTTGATCCTCTTGGTAGTATTTCATTCATTTCATCTTCACCAGATAATGGTAGTTTAAAACTGCAAGAAAAATGAAACTAAAAATACTGAATTTCACTTCTTTTTCTAAAGGCACAAACTTAAGCAAATAGTGCATGTGTGTGAGGGGGGAGGAAGAGAGAAAGAGAAGAGAAGAGAGAAAGAGTTTGTAACTATTCCTTTTCTGCTTCGTGACCTTAATTCTTCAGCACCTGTTTCCTGTACTTGATATTGCAAAGAGGTTTCCTGTGGTATGTTACCAGGAGACTCACATAGTCTGAGGCTTTTTATCTACCTTACGTTCTTATCCCTCCATTCTAATAAAAATATGAAGCCTCACATCCACCTAGAATATGATTTTGTCTTAATGGTTAGCATTGGCAGTGATTCTTTTAGCTTCTGCTGTATAAAAAAAAAAAAAAACCACACAAGGAATAAATGCAGGATTATAATCATAGATGAAAATCCAAGTGGCATAGACCAAAGGAAATGACAAGCATATTTAAGTTATTTACTCACTGGCTTCCAAAGCAGTTCCAAGTCAGATGTAAAACTGAGGTTGTCCCTAAGCAAGTTCACTATGGTTGACTTGCTAAAGCAAGGTCTTGTTTTAGATGGAAGTGACAATGGGCAAAACGAATAGAGCTTGAATAGAAGTTATTTTCACTATTGGAAGATTGTATATTATGAAAAATTACTTTCAAATTTTGTTTGCACCTAAGAAATTTCCCTTTTACTTGCAAATGCTGTTTGAAGTGTATTTCTTTAACACATGAACAAACAATAGAGACACAGATCCACAAAATCTACAAGGAGACTTCCAATCCCAGTGAATATCATCCATCCATAGGTTTGTTTCCAGATCATCATTCTCTCCTCACATAAACAGTCAAAATTTTTGTAATGTCTTCTTTATAAAACCCAAAACATAATTATGATAAAGTAGTCCCAAGTAACAAAGAGGAAAGGACTATAACTCTCTGGTATATGCCATATCTACAGTTTTTAGAATATTCATATTTCATGACCTATATAGGACACATACTATTTTTATTTCTATTAGATTGGAGTTTAAAGGTACTTGAGTTTCATTTGTATTTTTGGTTAAATGTCAAAAGAAAGAGTGAAGAAAAGACCTCAGTGTCTCAGCTCCCTTCTTACCTTCATGAAGTGATTGCAAAGTGTTCAGTTCTTATTCTTTTGTGTTGAGGAGACTGCACTGCAAGTGTGCAGTAATACTTATTTTATTACATAGAACAAAGTTTCACATTTGTTAATGGGGCACAAAAGAGAGTTTGTCAGTTTTACCTTTTTCCATTGACTTTTTTTTTTTTTAATTTTTAGATTTATTTTGTTTGTTTGTTTGTTTGTTTTAAATAGAGACAGAGTGTCACTGTGTTGCCCAGGCTGCTCTCAAATTCCTGGCATCAAACACTTCTCCCACCTCGGCTTCCCAAGGGGCTGGGATTACAGGCATGAGCGACCACACCCAGCCTGTTTTTTACTGAAGTATAATATTTGTACATATTTATGGAGTACATGCGATTTTTTTTTTGCATACACAGAATGTGTAATGATCAAGTCAGGGTATTTAGAGTATTCATTATCTCATGTATTTATCATTTCTATGTGCGGGGCACATTTCAAGTAATTCTTCTAGTCAGCTTTTAAAAAGATACACAGTAGGCTGGGCGTGGTGGCTCACGCCTGTAATCCAAGCACGTTGGGAGTCCGAGGTGGGCAGATCAT